TGTGCATGTGGCCTTGGCATCAACCACCACTCACTGCCATAATTTCTTTTCCTCACTCGTCCTTGCTCAAGTTGTTGCAGTGGATTTGTCATTCTCCCTGTCGGTGCCGGGAACGCGGAGGCCACGTGTTCTGCAGGGAGTGCAGGCTGGCAGTAGGAAAAGGATCTTGTTGTTTGCTGGTTCATACAGTGGGTTTTATTCATATTCCGTACCTGGTTTTCATGGTTCTGCTTTTCTTCTGTGGTCTTTGTTCTTCCTCCCTTGCTGGGTTTGGAGCACAAGCCGTGGGTGCTCCACATTGTGCAGACCGGACACCCCTGCAGATGTTTTTGGCTTGTGCTGAATTTGGGGTAAATATTCCATGCCCCAGGAGGGGTAGTTCTAATTTTGAAATCCAGATTTTCAGCTGAGCTTTGGGAATGGAATTTGCAAGTGTGGTTGTCTTGGTCATTAAATATTAAAGTGAGGCTGTGCCTGCTGGAGGGCTCAGCCAAACACTGAAGACTCTGAGCTGTCAGAGGAAGGGGCTGGGGGCTCCAGTGTGTACAGGGGTGATACTGGACCATGCTAAGGGTAAGATCCCAGAAATACTAATACTGCTCAGATGGATGCAGATAATCCTTCTGTGATACACTCTCTTTGCTCTGTTTGCCTTTAAAAAGACAATACTTGGGATGAGCTGTGAGAGTAGGACTGGGGTGGCCAGACCTCACACACCTCTGCATTAACACTGCAAAATCAAATCAGGAGCCATCAGCTGCATCTTGGCTTAGAAAACCTGCTGCTGGCTGCAGGTTCCCTGGCTCCAGTTGCATTCCAGCTTGGAGCAGGGACATGTGCATTGGGGCACAGCAAGAACTGTCACTTCAAGCGCAGGTCAGGGCTGGAGCCATAAGCAGTAAATCTGTGAGCTTCTAGCCTCCTCCTTTCCCAAAGTTCCCAAATACTGCAATGCTTCCTTCCTCAGACAGAGAACAGCCCCACGATGGAGGGTCACAGCCAAACGAGCTCATGGAAATATGACAAATGCAATTAGGTGAGCTGAGCTCCCAGCCCCCCCAACCTCTCCAGGGACCTGCTGCATCGCTGGGCACTTGCCAGCAGCACTCAGGAATACATTTAGGAAGCTATTCCAGCAGCCACCGCCCAGACTAGATAACACTTCCCCCCTCTTCCTGACATCTCTCTTCCTGACCTTGCTCTTCCCTGATGTGTCTGCAGGGAGGGTGTTGTCCAGGAGCACCGGCCACACTCAGGGCTCTGCCAGGGACAGGCTGCAGTTCACACACCAGAGGTAGAAACAGAAAATCCTGTGGCCTGTGTGTGCTTATCCCAGAGGAACAGGCACAGCTCATGCCTGGATCCTGCCAGTCTCCTGTGCTGTGGCTGGGGGGGGGTGTCAGGTCCCTGGGCAGCTGTGGGGGCCCCACTTGTGCTCCCAGAGACCAGCACCCACTCAATCACTGCCCGGAGCCAATGGATGCCAGGCAGGCAGTCCTGGGAGTCAGGACCAGAGCACTGCTCCCAGCCATGCTGGGAAAGGCAAATCCATTTCTGCTGTGTCCGCTTAGGGAATGCTGGATTTGTAAATTGTCCTCTTCAGAACTGGCGGGCGAGAAAGGTGCAGTTCTCGGGACTCCAGGCTGGAGCTGGAGCTGCAGATGGTTTCCACCTGGGGGATTCCTACTGAACATGCAGAATCAGGAAAAAGGTGGTTTATTTTAGTTTTCAGTTGATTTCGTTCCTTTAATCTTTGTCAGGGTAGGTGGTGATGACTCTGCCTTAATGCCACAACTCCCAGTGCCTCTGCAGCCAAGGGCTGCCCAGGGCCCCCTGACAGCAGGGACTCCCCAGCAGTTACAGCCTTGCACAGGTTTGAAAGAATGAAGTTGCTGAACAAGAAAATGCTGGGATTCTTCCAAACAGGGAAAGCTTGTGAAAGAGCAACGTATTAATGCTGCACATTAAATGTGCCCCGACGCATCTTTACCCCCTGTTAAAGAGAGGAGGCACTTGGATATAATTGGTTCTTGGCTGCTGCAGAGCTTGGCTGGTACAGTAATCCCTTGGGAATAACACAGCTAATTAAAGCCTAGGAACTGGTGACCAGCAGCTTCTCCTTTCTCCCCGGCTGTGTCTGTGCTAATCAGAGGTAGGGAGATCTCCTGGAGATTTTGTGCTGAAATGTGCTAATCAAGGAGGGAAGCATTCAGCTTCAGAGCTTGGTGCTTTGTCAAATCCTAAATATCCCAGTGCGATGAGCTGAGGGGGATTTTGGATCCTGGTGGGCGGGAGGGGACCAGCTGTGTCAGTCCCAGGCCTCTTCCCAAGTCCTGGATTGTGGCCTCCTGCTGCCTCACTTGGGGCTGGTGTTTTGGGAGACAGATTGTAAGATGTGAACTGGAGAGAGGCCTTTTTTTTAATTCTTTACGAGATGTTAAATCCCCCAAATCTTTGGTGACATTGGGGGAACTGCAGGTGTTCAGCTCCTCTGAGGGCCAGGTCTTGGGACTCTCAGAGTCCAGAATTAGCTGTTCTTGGCCAGATTGAACAGGGCTTGGAGCAACCTGGTCTAGTGGAAGGTGTCCCTGCCCATGGCAGGGCATGGGACTGGATGATCTCAATGTCCCTTCCAAGCCAAACCATTCTGGGATTCTGTGAGGTCTAAACCCAGCCCATCTGCAGCCAAAAGGCTTAAGCCAGTCTCTAAGGGTACAAACAGAGGAATAAGAACCTTCTGGGCAGAAGGGAGACAAATCCCAGTGTCATTCTGCTGTCAAAAATGGAGGGTCTGAGCCACAAGTATTATGGAAATCCTTGAGAAAATTTTTTATAGGGAGAGACTTAACCCAGCCCTGTCTCTTCAGCTCATGGACAAGACCAACAGGTTTCTTTATTTCTATGCAACCACATTCAGGGGGAAGAGCCTGGGTACTGAAAGGTTTTGTATTTGGCAGGCAAAGGAAGAAGGAACAAAAGTGGGAGCTGAGCATGGACAACTCCAAGTGGAAAAGAGGCACATGCTGGTTACAATGAGGGTGAGTAACTATTGGAACAAATTAGCAAGGGACTTGTTGGTTTAAGAGTGCTTATTTAAAAGATTACATTTCATAAAACATTTTTTTCCTATTGGAGGTTGTAAGTCCAACACGTGTGACTCACAACGCCCTGGCACTGCGCTGGAGTTGTGACCAGTGGCACCAGGAGGAAGTACCAGTTACCTTACTGGGGGCAGCTGTGAGGACTAGTTTAGACATAAAAAAAACCCTTAAAAAGCAAAAGCAAAATACATGCACTTGTTCCGGATTTGGACAATGCAAGAGGACTTTCAGGCAATTAATTGGAATTTTACCTAGGGGAGAACTTGCTGTGGTGGCAGATAACACGTCAGAGGTTTCTGGTCCAGCTGGAGAGTGGCACTGAGCAGGGATGACCTGGAGGTTTGAGCCCTCAGTAACCATGTGCCCAATTCCCAGTGAGTCTTTCACACAATCCAATTAACTACAAACACAAGTGTGGAAGCAAATTAGCTGCAATCCTGCTTCATTGCAAAACTACAGGGACATGTCAGACAGGGAAGTTGCGCAGATTGAGGTTGTGTTTGTATAGCAGGTAGGAATTTCAAAAGTTTTGTTGTGCTTTTATTTTACAGAAGTTACCCAGCCTCCAGCCAAGAAGGGATATTTTCAGCCCTCCAGCCCTTTAAAGAAGTGAAGGAGGAACAAGATGGAAGGAACAGAATCTGTCACTGAACTCGTTTGTAAGAGAAGCAGGAGGTTGCTAAAAGCCAGCTTGTAACTTTGCACAGCAGCCACAAAGGGTGAGTAACAGCTGCACACACAGTGTGGGTAAAGACAGAAATTCATGGGTTATAACAACGAGATATAGAAAATTTGAAGCATCCAGAGTAGTTCCAAAGTGGTTCCATTTTTGTTTGTTCCAAAGGTGTGTACAGATGTTGCAGGGCAGTGAAACCCAGGGCCCAGACTTGCCCTGCTCAGTCAGTGATGCAGGACTGGGGCTGGTACCTGGCAAAGCCCAGCTGACCCCTCTGCCCCCCTCCAGCCCTGTGGGCTGCCGGGCTCCAGGGACAGACTGAGCTGTTTCCAGGGCCAGCTGTTTTCCCACTGTGGGGAAAGCAGGAACAGACCTCCCTGCCCAGCCTTGCTGTACCAGGAGCTCGGGGGAAGCTCATTCACACATCCCTGAGTGCCTCAGTCTGGGCACAAGCCAAGCTTAGGAGTTTCAGCCCAGCCCAGCTCTGCCCAGGGCTCCACTGCAGCAGCTTGGACACCTTTGCTCTGTACTGTTCCAGGTTTTAGGGAAGATTATTAACATTTATACTGATCCCAAGCCTCTAAGCCTTCCCTGAAGCTGAAGAGCTCAGCTCAGGTTCCACAGCAGTGGTTCTACAGCTGATCAGCCCCCCTGGCCCTGCACAGGCCTGGGTCAGGTCAGCCTCTGCCTGGCTACCATAGGCCTCTGCCTGGCAACCCCTTCTCCAGCAGCTCTCTCATCCTCCTATCCACACACCAAACCATTTGCCCCAACTTCACCACTGCAGGAAATTCAGCCTTGCACAGAAACTTTACTCCAGTAAAGTCTCAGTCTCAGTTGCAGCACAGGGAAATCCCAGAGGCCAGTGGTTGTTATTTACTTAAGTGACATTTTAATTATGCAGAAGATGTTGGAGGATGCACAGGCTGCAAATTAGGGCTTCTCTCCTCTTCTGACAATGACATTTTAATTCCCATAGACTTAATACTCACTGCAGACTTGAGATGGTTCACAAGCAGGTGCTAAACTAAAAATGCAGCAGGACAGAGTTAAATGATGAAAAAAAACCTCCAGAGCTGCAGAGACAAAAATGAAAATAAAGCACCAAACCCACTGTGGCTGGAAAGGCTTTTCCTTTCAGGTTTGTTAGTGAAAGGCTGGAGCTCCTTAATTTCAGACACACACAGAGACTTCCTGAAATGAATTCAAGATGACACCCAATAGCCAAGGCAGCCACTGCTAATTATTTAATTACATCACATATTGAAACCTGCATGGAGACAACTGAAGAATCTGCCTCCAATGTAAACACTTCAGCATTGATAAAAACCAGAAAGCAGGAATTACAAAAGGCACCTTCTCCAAAATTTGAATGAACACTCAGCAAAACCCATTTATATATCACAAACTGGTTTGGGTTGGAAGGGACCTCAAAGATCATCTTGTTCTATAAATACTTCAAACTCTTCAAGGTCCAGGATACTGTGAAGACCTTTTGCAATCAACTCATGTTTGCCACTGTGGATATCTGCAACATGAATGAATCTCACACAAGCAAATTTAATTTGATGGTACCATGACAAAGTGTGGAGGTGTAAAGAGGCACAAAATTTCATTGTTGCCTTCAGAAAAATTAATAACAAGTACACAAACTATGCTGTGAGGGTGGCCTCGGGTTAAATTACTAATATTGCTCTAAGCAAGGCCAAAAAATCAAATGCTTCCAATTACTGTCTTGCAAGTGTGTTATTTGTGGGTGGCTGGAAGCACTTTTAACAACGAAACCACCCTGAGAAGGACTCAAACAAGGCAAGAACCTCACAAACCAAATAACCACCAAGCCTTTATTACAAAGAACCAGGATTCCAGAGCTTGTGTCCATGGTGCTGCCAGTCACAACCACCTGCTGAGTGGATTCCCTAATTCCCAGGACACCATGAGCCTTTGTTCCTGGCCTCAGGTGGGTGTGTTTGGATTCACCTGATCTGCTTCCTAGAATTTTGCTGCCAGCGCTGAGTGGGCTAAAACAAGGAACGTCCCTTTTGGATGAGCCAAACACCGCTTGGGAAGGGAAAAAATACTTAAAAAAATAATAAATCACACACTGGACACAGTTATCACTACGAGAAGTCAAATAACTTGCTTTACATCCACATTGCAAATAATTTCACAAGCAGGAAAATTAATATACTGAGTCTCATCTTCCCCTGGGGAGGGTGAAGGGTGTTTGGGATCCTGTTGCTGGGACGTGCAAGAACATGGGCAGAGCCAGACTGAATCCATGTTATCTGTTGTTGTTTGGGTTTTGAACAAAATTGATGGAGTATGAGCCAGTTGATGAATCCTGTTTTATCTGGAAGTTTTCTGTTGACAGGCCAAAGGGGCGGAGAACTAAATTCCCAAGATCCTTCAGTTTGCCTGCAATGAAAATCCAAGAGAACACGGTGAGAACTGAGCGAAAAGAAAACTCCCATTGAATTATGCCCAACTACAGTCCAGCTCTACTGATTTACCCATTAATTTCAGGTAAATGCTGTGGAAATTTCTGCATTTTGTTAATATTTAGGCTCTTAGCAGGAATTAGAAATCATTGTTAAATATTCACAGGGTATGACAGTTAATAAAATCTAAAGACTTCTGTCAATATATATGTATCATACAGGCTTTCTCACTCTAGAAAATTAATCTTGCTACACCTATAAAAGGGGAAGGACAACAAAAGGACATATTTTAAAACAAATCATATATAGAAATGATAGAATAGATTAAATGAAAAAAGAAGCAGAGGTAACAACTTCACTGTTGGCTGAACACAGGGTGACTGAGCCCCTGGCATGACAAGACAAAGGAAGATGATTGTCAGTTTTCCAAGAAAAACATTATTTTCCTCCTGGCTTCACTGATGAACTGTAGACTGATTTCCCAAAGAACAAACCAGAGAAGTCTGGACAAGTTGAAGCCTAACCTGGGTTTGCATCCCCAGGCTACACACCACCTTCCCAAAGCCTTCCACCTGCACTGATCCCTCAGGGCAGTTTTGCTGGGAGTTGAATGTGACAACAGCAATAGGTGACATGGAAAATCCACCTGAGCAGCTGCAGCAGCCACAGTTCTGTAAGAAAACATGCAAATGCCACACCTATTCCTACCTGAGGTGCTTCCAGTCGTGGGAAACACCTGTCACTGTGGTCACCTCACCTGGGTTCTGTTTGGTGCCAGGCCAGACTGGAGCAGTAGAATCATGGAATAGTTTGAGTTGGAAGGGACCTTAAAGTTCATTTCGTTCCACTCCCCTGCCATGGGCAGGGACACCTTCCACTATCCCAGGTTGCTCCAAGCCCCGTCCAACCTGGCCTTGGACACTTCCAGGGATGGGGCAGCCACAGCTTCTCTGGGCAACCTGTGCCAGGGCCTCACCACCCTCACAGGGAAGAACTTCTTCCCAATATCCCATCTAAACCTACTCTCTGTCAGTTTGAAGCCATTCCCCCTTGTCCTGTCACTACAGTTCCTGATGAAGGATCCCTCTCCAGCTTCCTTGTAGCCCCTTCAGATACTGGAAGGGGCTCTGAGGTCTCCACACAACCTTCTCTTCTCTGTGCTGAACAGCCCCAACTCTCAGCCTGTCTCCAGGGGGGAGGTGCTCTATCCCCTTATCAACTTTGTGGCCTCCTCTGAACTTCACAACAGGGAGAAAGAAGTACAGAAACATGAGCAGGAAAGCCCTGTGTCAGTTCTTTACAGAAAGATCAAGATGTGTGCTTCGCCTGTGACTGTGCTCACAACAGAACATATCCAAGTCTCAAAAAAAGCCAACCTTACCCCTGACCCTACCAAAGCAGCTGAGTAGTGAGACACAATTTTTCTTCAATTTGATTGTTTTTTAATGTGAGGATTGACAGGAGGTGTTTCAGGGATCTGGCCAAAGTCACTCCAGGGAGCAGCTCAGGTAGGATTAACTTCTTTGTACTGGTGGTGGGTTTTTTTTAAGATACACCCTGTTTAAGGTAAGTTAACTATTAACCTCATACCTTTATGCTGCACTCTAAAAGCATTTTGGTTATAAAACCATGAAGTTGTTTGGTAGCATCTCTGAGAGTGACAGGAATAGTTGCTATTGTACTTCTGGGCAAACATTTGGTCATTGCTGAGCTTCAGGTTTGGGGTGAGACGTGTCTTTGTGTGGTGGGAGAAGCCTGGCAGAGTCTGGCATGGCTGGAGTCCCCCAGGCCCTGCAGCTGGTTTGCCCGTGTCAGGAAACTGTGAAAGGTCTTTTCTAATTGCAGGGAGCACGATGCTCTTTTCCAGGCAATCCAGAGCCAATAAACACATCCCAGATGCCTCGGGATCCTGCAGCTGGGGCAGCTCTCTGGGAGAACTGAGACCATATGATAGATTTAGTACTTTATTCTTCATCTCACTGCGACTGAATAATTCAAACAACACAGTCACAGGTCACCTTCCTGTTCTATCACTTCATTCCACAGACAGCAATGGCTCTGGGGCAGCCACACTGAATATAAATTGTTAATGAGGCAGAAGAAAGCCTTGGCTTTTCCGGGAACTCCAGCCCAGAGCTGCTCCTGGCACACATAAACCCATCATTGTAGAGAAGCAGTGTTTCCTCCTCCCCCACCTCCTTTCATCCCTAAATTAGGATCTGTAGTTAAGAAAAGCTCTCTTAGCACAGAGCCTGTGCTTGGAGGAAGGAAAAGGCACGTGGGGCTGGAACTCAGCTGCAAAGAGTCCCCAGCCATCACACACTCCTTGTCCCCAGGCAGGGTCACATTCTCCTCTCTGAGACCTTATTTTCATAGATTTTGTTCTTTTTATTTTAGAGAGACCACGTCTACTTTTCTCCTGCAACTCCAGCACATTAAGTTTCTTCAACAAAGCAATATTCAGGGGTTAACAAGAAAATTCATTGGTAAAAATCAATTTAGGCCTCAGAAGTCTGTGATTCATCACTCACCTAAACTGCAATTCAACATCCTATTGAAAAAGGCAAATGCAGGAAAAGATTCCTCACAATTTACATTAGGATGTAACAGCCAAAATTAATTGCTATTCAGTCTTTCTGGCAATAATTCTAGTTTATTTGCTAGTGTTAACGTGGTGTTTGGAAGTTGAAAAGCTACATATTGTTTGTGTTAAGATTCTCTTTTGGATAAAAGACAGATTTCCTGATGAGGTCTCCTCTCTGTGTAACTTTCTGTATTACCAACATTTTTAAAGCAATAAAAAGAGCAAGGGCAAATCTTTCTCCTTTCCCCAAAATGCTGAGGACTGAACTGTAGGAAACTGTATATTAGCTTTGGTTTAACTATTTAAAGTGACCTCCCTATATGCACTATTGGGATTTAGCAGCTTACTTGCAAATACAATATAACCTTCAGTATCCAAAAAAACCTCAGAAAACATAATTCTCTAGGTATGAAGCCTTATAAATATTTTTGCTGATCTCAGGTAGCTGGAAAATCTCTTTTTGTCAGGAAGGCCCAGTGATGTGCTCTGAGAGCCTTCCCAGTAATACACTGATAATCCAGTACAGTTCCCTATTTTCTGCAAGGCACTCATTTATAACTCCAGTTTTTAATTTGATTTGATGAACTCTGTGTAAGATGGGCTACACACATTGGCAAGTTCAATCCCAGGTTTTTGTATCCAATATCTTTGGCTCCCCTGTAGCTGTATCATTGTCACAGCCCCCAAGCTCCTCTAACTATCCAAACTTCCCCTCTCCTCACACCCTCTCCTCAAAGGAGTGGTCCTCCTTATCACAATAATTATAGTATCTCTAAACAAGACTTGCTTGTTGCACAAGAGCTGGAAATCGTTGGCTTTGAGGTCAGAAGAGAAATACAAAAGAAGAGAGAAAATGGTCACTGTGTGTTCACATCCTTGGACAGACACTGAGGCAAAGGATACTCATTCTATGGAAGCACAAAGGGAAAGATCCAAATGGATTTCAAAGCTACTTCCCAAATGTGCTCCAAGTTAAGCTTTCTTTGATGTGGAACTCAGAGGTCACTTCAGCCTGAGCAAACTTCAGTGACAAAAGAATTGACCTGCAAAGGCTGAATGGAAAACATGAAAATAACTTACAAATACCAACATCAGCTTTGGAAAAGTAAGATCCTTGCAGGACACACAGAGCTCAAATGGACTTGGTTTGGCCACAAAATAGGATTTTTCTAGTGACATTGACTTCATCAGTCACATGCAGCACCACTTGCACACAAGAATTCCTCCTTAGGTAGTCAGGAAGGAAAATCTAGCCAAGAATGTGTACTCTGACTTATTTACACACAATCACTTCAGAAGTGGTTTCAGCTTCTGACAAACTATGTGGTAATGAGCTGTAGCACTGGAAAACAGGAAACACACTTGGGGAGGGAGGAAGATGCACTCCATTTATTTGGGTTTGTTTATATACAGCTCCAGTTTTCAGGACAGTGGGAGTTAGTTGGGTACCTCTGGATTTGTTTTAGTGAAAGAATAAAAGCTTAGCATTTATTTGGCTGATTCATTGACTAAGACAAGGATCAACTCAATATCCAAACTTCAAAGTAGCCAAAGCATGAACTGGGACATTCTTTCTAGAGATTTTGTTGGTAATGTCAATTTAGTATCAGGGCTCCTGGAGCAGGCCTAGCCTGGAACTATTAGGATGCATCTGACTTGCTCTCCTGGAACCGAAATATCTGGAGTACAACCCAGATACCTGAGCTGACCCTGTGAGAAGTCAAGAAGGCACCTGGCACTGTTGAACCCTCAGTCAGAGCATCCCCTGACAGATTGCCACAAGCCATTGTCTATCCTGACACAGAACTCCCTTGGGAAACACCACTAACAAAGGTCTGGAAAAAGACAAGCGGAAACAGCTCAGAACAAATACACTGTACAACAAAAACAATCCAAAGCAATCTCATAACCACCACACTATATCAAGTCTGTTGTCTTCCAGAATTCCCACCTAACCCTCCTTCTTCATAGTAAGGGTTTTTCCCTGACCTCAGACAGAATAGGAGCAGTTTGTAAACCTTAGGAAGTATTTCATTCCCAGGCCCCCATGGGTAGTTCCATGACCTCACCACTGTCTCTCTTACCAACAAGATATAGGGAATCTCACAACAGTTAAGAAAATGAGCTGCCTATGTTCCTGACTTAATTTCAAGTGTTCTATTCAGAGAATAAATTATAGAAACCCCCTCAGTTTGTGTTACATTGGAGACCACAAGCAGTGCTAAGAATATAATATCACCTGCTCCACTGACACCATCTAATTTAACAACACATGTGACAATTTAGAGGAATCCTGTCACACACAAAGGTTGTGGATGAACACAAGGTTATATGTTGTATTGTCCACTCTTAGTCTGGTTCTCCTGGCTGTTTGTAACTCCTTGTATGTTTGTAACATCATTGAGAAGGAATTTATTTCTCAAGAACCCAATTAAAATTTTTTGAACTGGTTGCCAAACGACCAGTTCATTTCTGCAATGCTAACTGCCACTTTTAAAGTTTTAACTCTTCTAAAAAAGATCACATATGGTCTGAAATCTAGGCAAAAAATTAGCAGTATAGAACTAGGTTTGAATTTATTGTTTCATCCCTTGTGGTTAGTGAGGCCCTTTAGAGTTCAAAAAAGATCAGGAATTTTCATATTATTTTGTGCTGAGACCCATCCCATGTCCTACAGACGGGCCTGATCCTTCTGGAGATTTTCTGCATTTCTCATTTATTTATAGCACTATCAACCTTCTTTATTTATGGCTTGTTCTAAGTACAATGGTGGAAACAGAATCTGATCCTGTAAAGCCTTAGAAAGCCTCACTGACACTTTGCCAGGTCAGAGCAGGTACAAAGCAAGAGCAAATCAGTGTCTGCAGATCAAGAAAAGAAATTACAGAAAAACATCAGCTTCAGCACAAGCCCTTGAAACAGTCTCTTCTTCCTAAATATATTAAGAATCAGTGTCAGAGTTAGACAGGCTGAGTTTATTTAACCTGATTCTCTGCAGAACAGCAAACCCCTGCCTTCCCCTTCCCATCACAAACCCTTCAAGCCTTCTCATCTTGAAACAGCATTTCATCTCTTGCCTGTCACACCCAGAATGAGCAGAGAGCTCCTGAGAGCTGTTTCTGAAGAACAGTGCAAATGAAAAATCTATATTAAAAAAACCTCTCACTTGAAAAAGCACAAGGATGCCTGAACCTGTAAGAATTAACTAACCCTGTTAATGAGGAGACAATGTTGACAGCAGCCTTTTTTTGGCAAGAGGTTCCCTTCAAAAGTGTTAGTTTAACCATATAATTGTTATATATACATATATATATATTTTTTAATTTATTTGATTTATACTTAATGTTACACAGGAAAACCAACCTTGCTTGGGCACTCTAAGTATTTATCCTTTTCAAATACATCAACCCAGTTAAGATGTTATCCAAGTAATACCACACAACATGGTGACGGGGGCACAGACATTTAGATGAGTTGTATTAATTAAATTATCTTTTCTACAAACAAGTCCTTTGTTGTAGAACTGTGCCATTAGGAAATGTAATCACACAAGGCCTGGGTAGGTCTAATTCAGTCTTCAAACAAACAGTAATGAAATACTGTATAAAACAAGGTAAACATGAAGACTTGGAGGTCTATAGGTTGGAAGTGCCACAGAAAGAATCAAATTTATTTCTTCAGACACAAGATCAAACACCCTCAGTTATTACAGCTGGGTGACTTCTTTTACATAAAGGTTTGGTGAAACCCCTGGTTTATCCCTTCCACAGGAATGTTTGCTTTGAAGGTTTATTGCAGGGAAAGGGCAGAGCAGTTGGTCTGTTTCAAACCATTTTCCCCGGCTTTTACATACATCAATATTAAATTGTTTTAGAAGGTCTTAAGTATCCTTTTTTTAAATGTAATTTTCTTTCTGGGAGAATTATTTTGGCCAGCACTTACTGTAGGTGACACCACGAAACAGAGAACTACAAAGAAATCAGGAGTTTTGTTTAACACAAATATTTCCTTTAAGATTTACCTTCTTAATTTTACACAAGAGATTCTATTCATGCTTTTTTTTTTTCAGCAGACTATGAAGGTTATTATGGAAGTTATAAGTACATGCTACTTACCCAACATTTCTTTCTTTAATTTTTCATTCCTCTCTTCAATTTGTCTTGGTAATCGCTGTGGAGAGAGAGAAAAACTGGAATCAGACCCATGCTTTCAATAATGCTGTAGGGTAAGATGATGGGATTTTTATACACATATCCAGGATACATTTCTCACTCCAGAAATGTATTTGTATGTGCTCATGGACACCTGTTTATCTGGTGCCTGTGATATTTATCTCAAAGTACAGCTTCTGGTAAAGCAGTTTATCTGCCCTGCCAATCCCTCAAAAACTGTGTGGAAGCTAAAAATTCACATAACACTTACACACCTGTTAAAAACAAAACCTAAACATCGACTCCATATAATTGAGCTTTCAGGAAAGCAGCAATAGGGATTATTTGACCACGAAACATGATCATTTCAAACTGGTTAGTTTGGCATTGAAGGTTCAAAAGTAACTGAAGTGGCGACACCAGGGTTTAAATCAGAAAACCAGTCCTGCACTCCTGAAATATAAACAGAGCTGAAATACCAGAGCAGGTACCAAATCAGGAGTCAAAGCGAAGAACTACTGTGTATTTATTATTTTAAAACTGTCATTTAACAAGGTCATGACACTCCCTGAAGCAGGATATGAAATCATTTCTAGTTACAGAAAGGAAGAAGATTTGCTGTAACAGTGAGTGGGGCAAATTTGCAGATTCTCTTGCTGCATCATTTTCATTGCCAGCGAGGGGGAAAAACTGCTGTGATATTTCTGCAAAGCAGAGGCACTTTTACCTTCCAATAAAGCAAAGCTTCTAACATGTCAGATACATTAACCACATATGTGGTGTCAGCATTACAGCTGAAATTGGTTTATGATGAAATTTAGAGATTTATGATGAATACTTTAAGAAGTGTAAAACTGTCAGGACTTCCCTAATGATTTTTCAAGAGAGAAGTTTTAAGCTTCAGCCTCAATAGATTCATTCTCCCCTGAAACTTGACAAAGAGCAGGACCAACTCGGGGCAGAACATCCTAAATCCCACTGCAGTGTGAATTGAGGGCATTTTGTACAAAGTGTTCTGCACCACATGTGAGCCCAAAGCCTCTGCCTGGAAAAATGAGGTCAAGGAGCAGAAGGTACGTGTATCAGTCAACCTCTGCACTTCCAACCACAAAAATTAAGAATAAATCACTGATTATTCTAAAATATTCCTGGAAGATGGCCAAGAGGAACAGCAGCACTTATGATTCACTAGGGACTGAGCAAGGGCTCTTTTGTGAGATTATCAGAGGCACAGTCTCTGAGAGAAAACGATGGTTTTGCTTGAGGTATAAAGGGCAGTGTCTGTACTTTGAGGGGGTTCCAACCAGCCTAAACAGATCCAGCCATTTCTGAGGGTCAGACAGAGTATCCTGAGCTGGAAGGGATCCACAGGGATCAAGTCCAACTCCTGGCCTGGCACAGGACAACCCAGCAATCCCACCAGGAGCCTGAGAGCGTTGTCCAAACACTCCTTGAGCTCTGGCAGCCTTGGGGCCGTGCCCACTGCCCTGGGGAGCCTGTCCAGCCTTGAGCTGGTCCTGCCCTGGCACAAGGGAAGCCCCTGCACAGCCCTGCAGGCAGCAAAGGTTTGCAGGTCAGCTCAGCTGCTCTGTGGAATCACACCCTTACCAATAACAGGAGTTACACAGTTAAGCAGCATATTTTTCCACCATCAGTGCAACTGATCCAGTCCCAGAGGAAATAATTTCAGGCAAGATTTCTTGCCTAATATGCCATAAAGGCCGTTTCTAATCTGTCACTTACACCACCACAGTATGGGGAAAGGGTGAGGGAGAATCACTACTAATGATTTATTTTCCCAATTGGAGAGTTAAAACAATTAAGCCTTTCAAAAATATTTTTGTAACAACACATTCAAAGGGGTTTTAGAGTCAAATTTGTAGGTGATGCATATCGTTTTTTTTCTTTCTGGAGTAGAATCCATTGCAGGTTCACTAATGTGAAGCTGAACTAAAATAATGGTGCCTTTTGAAAATTTAACCAGCTATAAATAAAGTATTGGCACAGATTTGGGTGCCCAACTAAGAATTACATTTTCAAATTGCAGCCATTTATCTTTACTGGTTTTTTTTTTCTTTTTTTACATTTACATTTACATACGTAAGGAATAGTTTGGTGGTTGTTTTCCGTGCTCAGCTCTTCCCAGGTTCTCTGGTGTCCACAAACCATTCCCCTGCCATGCCTTGCAGCTCCCACTTGCATAAAAGTGGCAACCCCTGCATTTTTTAGAGTGGCTGCCTTTCATCAGCACATGTTCCTTCAAAACCACACCTGTCTGGCTGCCCCTGTACCACATTTGTTCTTTCAACACAACCTCCATAACCTCTTTCCAAAAACAAGAACAGCAGCCTCTAAGAGGAGTTTGCAGAAAACAGACTTCTCTTCTTGCTACCTTTGTGAAAAGCCTCTCTGAACTTGTCAAATCCAGAGCTACTTCCACACTGAGCATTAACACACTAAATATCACCAGAAAAATCACTTCCTGCCGGTGCTTTGCACAAAGAGTTACTTAAAGCTCAAATCAGCAGGTTGTGGCAGTGACTTCAAATCCCCACAGAGGAGGGATTATTTACATGTTAGGCTGGGGTTTCAGGAAGTGCTAGGGGTTTATCTTTTTTCATCCAAGCTGACACATCCTAAAAGCCAAGGAAGCTTTTTAAAGCACTTCCTTACACGTACAAAGATATGGCCAAGATTTTGCAAGAAATGTTTCATTCTGAAGTATTTGTAATTTGATTGAAAGTGGTGAAAGTGGACACTGGAACACAGGACTGCGCTGAAAAATTACTAAGCTGCAGATATTTTTTATATTAGAAGAAAGTAACTGAATCAGAAGAGGCTGTTTGTTAGTCACAAAATGCCTTTCCCTGCAGGAAAAGGCTGAGGTTTTGAAGATAAATGGCAGACTTCAGTCACCATTAGTAAAATAACTCAAACTGCCCAATCCACACAGAAGGCACAGCAGAGAACAAGAAGGGAGAACAGCTAAATCGAGAAACAAAATATCAACATTTTAAAGTAGGTACAAACATACAGACTGAGAGAATCCTGTCTTTTTTCCATTCTCAAAATTATACAATCAAATAATCAAAAAAAAAGTTATGCAAATTAACTAGTCAGGAAAATAATTCTCCTGAAAGACAAACACTCAGTTATGAACCAGCCAGTAAGAGCTGCATTACAGGGTACTTCTACTCTGACCTCCAAATTGCAGATCTGTATTGAAATGATGGCACTAATATGCAGCAGGTTCAGGCAACCTCTTCTAGCACATGTAGAAATACAATTAACAGCCTTGATCAGAGAACTGGAAAGTGTGTGTGTGTGTGAGCTGTTCAACAGCCCAACAGGTCATCAGATGCTCAGAGCTCAGAGCACACATTTACTTTCACTCATTTTACAAAGGTAAAAGGAGGATTCTGCTTTATGGACCAGAGACTTGTCATGGAATTTGTGGCAGATCATTCAATCTTCCTTATGTAAAACCAGATGAGAAAACCACTACTCGTTAAGACTTGAAAAAACAGTTATGCCACTGCATAGGAAGCTGCTTAAACAAACAGCATTGAATATTTAGAATAGGAAAGGAAGTCAAAATTACATTTAAAGTTAGGCCAAAGTACAAAAGGCTTACCATGCAAGCTTCTCTGGCTTGATGAACTGATGGGTCTTTTTCTAGGATTGCCTTATAATCTTCCAGAGCTTCATCTAGTTTTTCTGTTTTTTCATATAGTTCTGCTCTCCTCAGCAAAGCTCTAATATAGTGAGGGTCTAATTCCACAGCTGGAAAACAAAACCAAAGCACAGAATTTTACTTGAGACATTTCTACACCCCTTAAATGAATTCTTAAGTGCGTATTAAATTCTTAAGTTACCTTTATAATGTAACTTAGAATCAAGCAGAGCTTAAAAGCTAAGTCAGAATTCAGAAAGGCAAACAGCTGCCTGGGAAAGTCTCATGCAAATGATCATGTTTCACTTAATGTCCATAATCTATCACAGATGGAGGTGATTTATAATGTACAAACATTTAATTTTGCAATACTATATATGCAGAGATTCTAAGTGACGCTTCAGAAAGTTTAAGGACCTGTAAGATATTTCAGCTTCTGTGTATTTAACAAGTGTATATTATTTGATCACAGATAAAGTTAAATATACCTAAAGATACACACAGCAGGGAAAATAAGCATTTCCATGCTTATCTCAGTTCAAGTTGAGACAAACTCCGGGAGAATTACTGGTGCTGTTCTGAATTTAGTATCAAACTGTCAAAATTGGGTTGGGAATCCACAAACAGTTATTTTAGCTTTACAAGTCAGCAGAGGGGCATCCTAACTGCATTTAAGCTCTTCCTCTCCTCGTTCCCTTGGCAGCCATGACTGTTTCCAGTAGCAGTTTAGACTGAATGCTAAACTTAACAGGAACCTCCAAATGGTAATTCCTCAAGAACTGCTTAATCCATTCTTCATCATGAAAAAGAGGGCGTATGAAAGATTTTTCATCACAGAAAGAGGGAATATGAAAGGTCTGTCCATTTTGTGATTACTGCCCATTAAAATGGTTCTAGGGACAATTAAATCCAGGATTATCTAACTAAACATTCTAGCTTATTTCCTCTGGAAGGACAAAGGCAATGCTACAGTCAGCAAGTGCAGGTTAGTGTGAATTGCTCTGCTGTGCTCTAAGTGTTGCACTGCAGTCTGTCAGTCCCTGGGGAGTGTCAGGCACTGGCAGTTTTAAGTCTCTCTGCTGCAGAGCAGATTGATTCCCCTTCAGCCACTACAAAATTAGAAGTGTTTTTCAAACTGCACCACCACCAAAGCAAGTCAAACCCCCCAGTGACAGAGGCCAGCTGGGATTTGGTACCTTCAAGAGTACTTTTAGCATGTACAAACTCATATTTACTGTACAAGCAGTACTGGCACACAGCCACTGGATTAGTTTTCTGATTGGTAATTGGGGCTTTTTTCCCCAGCTGTCATGGGGAGTTTAACAAATATTCGAGTGTGGGTGAGTGGGTGGGAGCAATAAAGCAAAGCACAGCTGAAATGATTCCACCAGAAGGTGCAGAGAGAAAACTATGCAGGGCAAGAACGGGAGAGCACAAGCCCTTGTGACAAAGCAAAAGCTGTGCAGAAAAGGGACTTGATAATGCTTTTAACTCTATAAGGCCTCACAGTTTTTTGGAATCTGGGATTAAACCAAGATTTGGCAGGGAATGGCAGGTGGAAGTGGGTTTAAAATAGTAGGTGTAAGGAAACAGTTTCCATAGTAAAAAGACTTTCCTCTTAAAAAGAAGTACAAAGAGCAGCATTATTGGTACAAGAGAATTATTCCAGACAGGAAAAAATTGATAGACATTTACAAAAGAAATAATACAAATCAGGTGTGTTCCATCACAGCTTTCCATTAAATTCTTTAAACACCCTTGTGCCCAAAATTACAGCTCTGCAATAAAGCACTAACTGGCATAATTTATGCAGGAGAGATCTGGCAGAAGTGCAGCACACAGAGGAAAAAAAAGTGGTACCTTTGGTGCAGTCACTCAGAGCAGCTTCTGTCTTGTCCTACGAAGAACACAACATAGTTTTGTTAGATTTAAGTCATATTTCTTCATGATGGTGGTGGAGTCCCCATCCCTGGAGGTGTTCAAGGAATGACTGGACGTGGCACTCAGTGCTCTGGGCTGGTTGGCAACTTGGTGATGGGTCACAGGTTGGACTCGATGATCTTGGAGGTCTTTTCCAACCTCAGTGATTCTCTGATTCTTGGGAAACAGATTATTTACAACTGCAAATAAACAGGTTTGTGTGGCATTCCAAGGAACTGGGATATTTGTGTAATCAGGGATCCTGTTTTCATCTAAACTAAAAGGTTTTAAAGAAAATAAATCAGGCTGTTCTGAGCTTGGACTGTTGATCTGAGTAGTAGGAATCTTTCTACTCTCAATATTTTCTCCTCCATGACCAGAAGCTGTCTCAGGGAAGAATGCCTCACAAACTAAAATGGGAGCAGCAGGTATGGAAGAACAAATTTATGGGGAAGTTATTAAAAATATGAATCAGTTTTCAGAGTAATGTGTTGGTCCGTTGGGTCCCACCAATCTATACTGGTGAGATACACTAGTCCTTGTATCATCTTGAGCTCCTTTGGGGACCACTGGATTAGCTTCCCATGGATACAACTAGTTAACATTTGGATCAGTTTTTCAGTTTACAGTTTTCATGTTTGAAATATACACCCGCATCTTTTAATGCAGATTCTATTCTATTTTTTTCTTGCCTGCTCAAACAGCTCAGTATCCCAACAGCAAATCAGATAATTCCAGCCAAACAGGAATACTCTTATGCTGAGTAAGAATTTATTTATTTATGCCTAAGTATGGCTGCAAGGTACATTTCTAAACAGAGCTACATCTCTCAGTCCTGGAGGAACACTGCAAGAAAGTTCCTTTTCCAGGAGGGTAAACTGAGAACAGGAGTTACTGTGCTATTTTTCTGTTTCAAGTGCAACCTCCAGGTTTGTATTCATCTGCAGTAAAAACAAGTGTACCAGGAATTCTACTGGGAGGAGGACGGACTGAGCAAAACCTGCAAACAGCTTTATCCTTTGCCCTCCTTTCTGCACCCCTAATCACTTCATTATTGCATTTGTCATAGAATCAATACACAGTGTTGCACAGAATAAAAAGAACACTCACCTGTTTCATTTTTGCAGCAGCTCTGTTTGAAAACAGAACAGCCCTGTCTTTCTGGAAGCAGGCTGGACAAATCTGCAGAGCCTTTGTGTAAGAGTCTTCTGCCTCTCCATAATCTGCAGATGCAATAGAAAAAAAAAACAAAACCCAAACCAAACCATTTATTTCAAATCCATGAACCACATGGCTGAGATTTCTTTGGAAACATTTCTCCATGTATGATGCAGTATTAAACCAGAATCAGCAGCAGCTCTCTAAGTACATTACTAAGTAGTACATAGATCAAACACAATTATTTTGAAATTCACACCCTTATAAAAGCAGTAATATAGTCCTGAGCTCAGTATGACAAGTGCAGCATGATGTGTGTGTAATTCTCATCCCTGAAATTGTTTCCTTCTATTTGAGTACCAGCCTTACAGGCAGAATCTCCTTACATTAAGTGTATCCTTGATCCGAAGGGAAGCGTGTGCTGAAAAATGTCACTGCACTGAAACCTGTTCAAAGCAACTGCAGAGAGATTTTACTGCCACACAGGTGCTTCAAAGGCTGTGTGTTTGTGATGAGGAAGCACTTTGGCAGGCACAGGCACACTGAAAAGATCTGCCAAAGAATTTATCAAGCAGAGGCTGTGGATGAGCCTTCACGAGATGACTCAGCCAGCAGTGCAGGCTTGTGGCCTTCATGGGCTGGGCAGTTTCCTTCTGCTGCTCCGGTGCTTCCCGGAACTGGTAAATCATTCCCCAGGAATCCTTTTCTCTCAGCACACAATAAGAGACCTCCAGCAGGAAGGCCACTGTCTGGTTATCAGGGTACAACAGTTCCTTGGTTGTATCCCTGCTGACTGAGGAAAATAGGAATCTGCATTTCCCGGTTTCTTTGTGAATCCTCCACCCATGGAACATTAAATGAAAGGCTGGTGTCAGAACCACTCCCCCCATTATGTTTTTTAATAAAAAGCAATGTACAAAGGTGCAAGAGAACTACAGACCCCCAAGTCTGGCATCATTTCCAAGCACATGCATTAGCTGAACTCAGAGCCCAGGGGAAGCCTTTTCTGATTAGTGTAAGAAACCCTAGCACGTGGAAGGCAGTTCTGTACCATGTTCCTGGATTAAACACTCAGCTTTCATGGGAATCCTCCTTTAGTAATCCAAGTCTTTGTGATTTAAGCAACTCTAAAGGAGGTCTGGTATCTCTTTCTTTTCTCTAGAGCTGGATGAAAAATGAATTATGTGATAAAATTGAACAAGGATAGGTGTGAAATCTTCCTATGGGTTTCCTGCAACATCACTATGATGGCTGACTATTAATCTAAGCTTCTCTAACATCCATGAGGTGTTAAAAGATTATCAACCCACCTCCTTTCTTGAACTGCTCATTTCCTTTCTCCTTCAGCATTGTGCTCTCCTTTCTTCTTCTCTACAAAAGAAAAGACAATGTCTCAAAGTATTTAATTGAAATGAACAAGTAGGTCAGCTGTAGTTCCAAATAAAGTATGAATGGAAATCAGAATAAAACATAACCTGAAGAATTTTAAGTACTACCAAGCTTGCTTGCTTGCTTGTAGCCACTGTTACACTGGAGTGTAACAACAACGCAATTAAAAAGCTCCAGTTCATGGACACCAGTGTGCAGGAAGAGCATCCACAGTGAATTACATGGTTTAAACCAATCTGTTAGCATTTTAGCTGACTGTTTGCTTCTCCTTTGCAACTGAATTTAATTCAGTCACTGCAGGTCAACTATATAGAATATCTTTTAAATGTAAAGTTTTGCTTGAAATAATTCCACCTCAGCAATCCTCAGTTACTTTCAGGGATGTACAAAGCACGTTGAGCTGACTGCATTGGAAAAGGTCCATGGTTGATACTGCCCTGAAAGATTTCTTAGGCAGAGAGTAACTGACCCATCAGAACCAGAGATAGGAAGATTGTTCTGTTGTACAGTGAGAACTGCACATGCTGAGCAGAGCTGTGTTTTCAACCATGAATATCTTGGCACAAGTGGAGTTGACATGGGGGCTCTTTGCCTTTGACACAGAAAACACAGGATGTCATCGAGCCACCCCTTCAACCTACTGACAGTGGAAGTGTTTCACAGGCAGACATTCCTCTCATCAGTGAAAACAAAGCAGTGTAAGACTCAGGAACATCAAAAAGCAGTGCTTGAGTTTGTGAGTCGTTTCTATGGTAGAAAACTGATCATTTGACCACTGATTTTCCTCCCAACACACAAAGGACTTAAATCAAGGTGTCTGTAAATTACAGATCACTGAGCAATTAAAAAGCCAGCACTAGGGAAAGGAGCAGTTTCCTTTCCTGCAGATTGTGTGAATCAAGGATTAATGCAATTATCAATATCGCACAGAACATCTCCTTGGAAACAGCTAAATATAGTCCTGTGTGTGGAGCACTGCACCACTCACAGCTATGCCAAGGAGCTGACAAACAATGCAAAAGCAGAGCTTCTCTCCTCCAGCTTTTATTGGTTTGGGGAATTAATTCACCTGACCATTGTCACCACCTTGGTAGTAACAGTTCACAATGCTCTGCAAACCAGGCTCAGTGGAAGAGCACTCAGTTGTGACACACAAAATTAACAGCAAAATCTCATCTCACCCTTTCCATAGGTGCCCAGATCATGAGATTTGTTCCTATTGCCCACTAAATATGTTTTCTAATACTCATTGCTCCTCGCATTTAAAAAAAAAACAACCACAAAACAAAGAGCAGACAAAAACATGCCCCACTATTTAGAAAATGCCTTTCCTTGGGGTGGGCCGACAAATCCACCCAAACCCTTCCACAATGCACTAATGTCCATGGGTTTTCTAAATATGAGCATACAAATTCAACACTTCAGGCTCAGGCTGCATTAAAATCCCAAATTCTTTGTATATATGCAGGACTCTGCTGTTCAGCAAAGGGAATATGGAACTGCTACATCTAAATTTTCAAAGAACAGACAGAAGAGCTCCAGCAAAGTCACTGTCACACACAGCTGGGCCTGCACAGAAAGGGGTTTTTAAAACATCCTCAGTGCACACAAAGTGAAAGTTGGCACAACATTTTCATACCAGTGAACAAAGCAGCCAGATCCCAGCACAGAACAGGTCTGGAGATGATGATCCTACTGGAAAGATCTCCATAGACAACCCTCATTCAAGAAAAGAAATGCCTGAAACACAAGCCCTACTGACTTCATTGCTCATGACCTATTTAGAAGTGGCCTTTCAGTGCCATTAGCTGATTCACTGCTGCACAGGGTTGAGTTACAGCTCTACAGGAACGAAAGAATTTTTTTTATAAACAGAACTACAGCATGGTCACGCTATTCCTGAGGCAGAAAGCCTAAAACCAAGGAATACTGGATGAAAAGTTTTACCTGTATTATCATTATTTTGTTTCTTTTTATCAAAATTATTACAAAATTTTCACCCTAGTTATGTATTAAATGCTAATATAAACACTGATTTGCAACAAGAAAGATTCAGAAGAATAAGCTTTATATAAAAAAAGAAGAGTAAAAGGAACAACAACAAAGAAATAAAGCAGCATTTTTAAGAGCACCCTGTATGGTTTTGCAACCTACTCAGCTCCCTGCAAAGCAGCACTGCAGTCCTAGCTCAAAACCTGTATTTCTGTTAGAGCCTGACCAACATTTTCAAGATATTCCTGTATTATGAGTTTCAGTTCCAAACTGTTTAAGTTTTCAAAGTATTTTTAAAAAAGGTGACGTCTCTAGAGTACCTCATGCACCACTCTGGGTTTGCGTTTAAAGTATGACTGACCAATAAGCAATATATAAAAGCAAATTTCTCTGGCTTTTCCACAAAATGTAAAAGCATAAAACATATATCAGCCCCCCACATCCTAAAGGCACTGCCCTCAAAGGCAGGCTGTGTGATTGTGAAATAAATACATTATTTATTCCTCCACATATACATTTCTTTTACAGAAAATCCTAACATAAAACAGTAGAAAGTCAATTATTCTGCTGAATTTACATTTAAGCTGAAAGGGCTGCTCAGGGGGGAACTTGTGTTCTATTTAAATTCAGGGTAAAAACCCCAAACAACTTAACCACTGTGAGAAGACACAACTCTTCACTCAGGATGTTAAATTTCCAGCTTCCATGGACAACTGCAGAGTGACTGGTCATCAGTTTACTGTGATCACATCAGTCCAGAGGGAAAAATATTGCAAGTGACTTGTCCCTGGGACAAATTTTGCACAATGTCACTTCAGTGTCCCCACCCACTCATTTTTCAGGAGAAGATTTCAGTAGCTGCAGGGCAGGCTGCCCTTTCCTCAGCAGGGAAGTAGGTCAGCCTGAACTCCTGGAATGCTCTGCCTAAGGAAAAGCCATCTCCCTATTCCATTCCCTGAGGCTGGTCATGTAAAACACTGGGGTCAGGCACAACTTCCCCAATTTACACTCCATTCTATGATTTTCTGCTATTCAAAATCAGTAAAATCTTAAGGTTTGGAGTTTTTTTCATATTTTGTTAATGCCAAGATGACAAATTCCAAGTGGCAGTTAGTACAAAGTAAAAAAAAATATTTTTTTTAAGTCCAGAAGGAATTAACTACATGTAACTATTAGAAATGTTTAGATTTGGATACTGAATTACAATCCCAGACTCAGAAGAAATTAGTATTTTAACACAAACCTGCCTGGCAAGTCAGTGGTACTGAAGAAAGGTCTGATCTGAAGTCATGACAAAGGACACCTTGGCCTAGTGACAATAAAGTGCAATTCCAAAGTAAGGCCATCCCATACAGTCCCTGCACCTCAGCTACTCTGACAGGGTTAAAAATAAAAGCATTTAAAGCATTATTCTGCTATGAGAGAAGAGAGCAACCTACACATTTTCCCTGTTTGGATGAGAAATAACCAATACAATAGAAGTGCTGGAAGTGAAATCCTTAAACAGAGCCAGTGGGAGCTGAAGGACAAACACCCTCAGGTTGTAACGATTCCAACTATCCTTCCTCTGGCTGTTCCTATGCATTTTGTTTGATCAATTGATTCACCTTTGCCAGGCAACCGTTCTTGGCTCCAAATCTGGCAGGAGCAGCAAACTGTGCTCTCTCTCCTCTATTTCCACAGTGACAATGCACACCTGCCCCTCACGCTCCCCTCTGGAAGGTCGCCAAGAAACAGTGAATTTAAAATTACTGGAGTTCAAGTGGGGCATAGAAACAAGGAATTTAAGCAGATAAGGAATATACTTTTCAGCTTCAAATACCAATTCTAAGTCATTCATTAGCAGTCATCTGCTTCCCCCTGCAGTTTTATGAAGCTACTGCTGTATCCTGCATTCAAGGATTTGAATTTCAATTTAAGGTTGGAGTCCCCCAAAAAACCTCGTTTTTTCACATCTTGAAAAGAGCCAGACCTGCCCTGGACACTTCAGAGGTCACAGAGCAACGAGCCCTGACAAGACCTGGCCTATCCCTGCTCCCTGTAATCCGTGGGAAAGACACATCAGCCTTTCTACTGCCAAATCACCATCTTTTCCCAAAATTGGAACCAGCACTTCCAGACACAAGGAAGGAGGTCACAGCCCTCACTGACAGCTTAAGTTAACATGCCAGACTAGCTGACTATTCCTGAGTGACAATATGTGCTGTTCACTCATCCTGCTCCAGAGGCAACAGCCTCAGGGAGAAAAAGTGGAGCTGACCACTGAATCCATCACCTCAAGTGGAAAAGGGCTCAATTTGACAGGAAAATGCAAAACTGAATATAGCACTTAAATCAGATAGCAGCACTCAAAGGAAGATAATTATATACTTTTTCACTCTTTGTATTAAATTGCCATCCAGCAAAAGACTTCTATGTTTGCTTAACAACGTAATTCAAAGAGTTATAAATCATATGGGGAGATTATATTTCCAGATTTTATTAAAATTCTTCTTACCAGCTCTTGGAATTAATTACTCTAGCAGATACAGATATACTTCTCAAATGTTCTTCTCCAAGCTTGGATTAACTCAGAAAATATAACAGGATGTTTTATTCTATTTTGCAAGCCATAGGACAAGGCAGGTTTAGTCCAGCAATCCACCTTTTCTTCCAATTTGACCAAAACAATAAATATTTAGTGTAGGTGCTGTACTGTCTACTGGATTCAGGTTATTAAAGCAGGTAATTTGAATAAGGGGATCACCTTTTATTATATTTCAGAAGATTGCACTGTGACACCTTTGAAACCTGTCTTGCAAGTTTTATTGCTATACAAAATCATTGTGAGTGCCGATGAGAATTGTTAACAAAATATATATTCCTAATTGTTATTTATCATTAATTTATGTAATAAGTTTTACATAGTCACTTGGATTATTTTATGTATTAATAATCTGGGGTTTTTTTTGGTCCAGCCACATAATTCTTCCTGGAAAGAGCTCTGAGACCATCTCCAGGTGATCAACACCTAAAGACTGTTCCAACTGCAGAGCTTTGCTTGCAACCTTGGCTTTTATTTTGTAAACACTACAGAAAAAAACAGCAACTCTAACACAATCAAACATATTATATTGGACAGATGAAACTAGGAAAACACCAAATGCTGAAATGAATGACTACACCTATATTGGAGAAGAAATCCCAGGGCAGTTGTTCAACCCCTGGAAAAGCCAATTCTATAGATAAGCTTTTATTTATGGAGAACAATGGGATCAACCTGAAGGCACAGCGAAGAAAGGAAGGGTGAGGACGGGGGCAGCTTAAAGGAAATTTCTTAAGACAATATTCTCTTACATATCCTTGAGCTTCTGCACAAAATAGGGAAAAAAAAGAAAGAGATTTTACTGCTTAGCTCAGAAAGAATCTCAGGGTTAACTCAAAAATGCTACTTCTCAAAATCAGTTTTACTTAATTCGAACACAGTGGCTGACAAAACACTAATGAAGAATCTCCTCTACCAGAGCTGTGTTCCTTGTCCTGCTGACACATTTCCCGCTGTCAGAACAGACATGGACTGTGATTCCAGCCAGCTGTATGTCAATGGACATGGAACAGCCCAGAGAAGGGAACTGCTTTGGAGGAATATTAGATATTTATTGCAGTGTATTACATCCAAAAAAAAGAGCTTCCTAGGCCAGGTGCATAAGTCCTTGCCAGACAAGGCCCAAAGAACAAGACAACATCTGTCACGATGGAAGAGCACGAGGGATTCAGAATGAAGGATTCAGAATGTTGCATGGATAAACTCCTAATTAATGGGTGTCCCTCCAGAAGAGGATGGGGCAGGCTGGAACAATTACCATGGAACAGCTGTTGGGTGTCCTTGGATTAATCCTGCAGACCAGACCAACGTCAAAGCCATCACTGTCAGTGACAACTAACCAGAAAAATCTGTTTGTAATGCATCAAAAGCAATTTACTGCTCAGTGCCTCTGCTGAGGCAGCAATCAGAATGCTTTGGAAACAGCAACAAAACCTTATAAAAGTCAATTTTAGTTTTAATTCTTAAAAAGCTCAGAGTTGCAAGCCCAGCCAACTAACCAGGCTCAATGCTGCATCTGTTTTTCAGAATATTTCTTGCAGGTTTGTGTCTTAATATCATTTCAAGCTCTTACTTTGCTTCATTGTGCAGAGAAGATCTCTTATGGTATCGGTACTGTTTCCCTGGGAGGAATTCTCGGTGCTTAAAATTAGAAATCTCACTGTAAGGGGCTCCTGAAATATAACTGGAGAAAATACACAAACAATTGTTCCTTCCCTCTGCAACAGCTTCTGCACAAGTGAGTATTTCTACTCAGAGCTGCTGCTGTGGAAGTTTACACACCAGGATACACATAAATACACAGAACAAGGACTAGAATCTGCCTTTGCACTTCCAGCATAAATTAGAGACTTTTTCTACAGCCTATTACTGGGGAACAACACTCGATAGAACTCGTTTATTAAAGCTGCTGAAACACAGCATTGGTCTTAGTTTATAAAAAGCCCAACAATCTATTAAGGTGTAGCTCCATAAATTTGATCAGAGCAGGGCCAACATCCAGCTCTCCTTATGACCAAAGCCCACAGTTTATGGCTGGGGCTGCAACAACAGTTCATAGGGAGTTTTTCTTATTTAGACAAGCACTCTAATGGAATCCATCTCCCCCTGTGCCAACACGAGGCTGCTGTTTGATGTCTGCTTTTACCAGCACTGCCCTTGATCTAAAAATACAGCTTTATTTTTCATGTGAATCACTCCCCTGAGTGGTTCAGTGCACATTCACACAGAGGTGGGCCAGCACAACACAGGAGGCTGTGGAGGGATGAGAATAACCCATCAAGGACTGCCTGAGGAGCAAACACAGCACTGCTGAGTGTCTGCTCACAACCTCAGCAGCCAAATAAACACTCCTGAATATTTCTGCCTCATTTTCTGCAGCTCCAATTTAAAGAAAACAATCACGTTGCCCTTTTTCTCAAAAAAAAAAAATCTTTTGAGTAACTTGGAAGGAGTTTTAAAAGCTCTGAATAAATGAATGTACAGCACTGTTTTCAGACTGTGACTGCAGTATTTTTTCTTAAAAGCTGCATCATTTAACAGATTCTTTTAATAATCAGAATGTTTCACTTTTAAAAATAAATTTGGAGCCATCAATACCAAGTACAGTGAGAAGAGCTGGAGCAGCAATTCAGGGATGGCCCATCCCCATGGTTTTACTACAGAGATGCAAGGTGGTGCAGGGCAAGATAATTGTAACAGCTGTGTAAGCTTCTAATTCTTCTCTGGATTCAGGATTTCTCAAGCTCTGCTTGTAAGAGATACCAACAATATTTTGTTGTAAAAAATAGCTACATTTGAAAGACTGTTCATATAATCAGAAAGCTCTTTATGGAACATAAACAAAGAATTGCCAATCTAATACTTATGGTGATAGTGAGAGACAGAATCCCTCTGTTTGGTCAGATATAATCACAAGCCAAGCTGAAGGGCAGAATTGCTCAATACCACTGGAAATAAACCTACAGAAAGATGAGAGCTGCAGCTGCCTCAATACTTTCTCTAAAGAAATCTTTCCAGCTTTCATCAGTTACTATTTTGCACTCTCATAGCACTTTTAAGCGGAGTTCCACAAAGCTGAATGCAAAGATTCAACAGTCCCAATTCTTTTGCTCATTTGACAGAAGGCAAAGATCAAGGTGCAAAATTAAATGATTATGCAACAATACAATGGAAACAAGAGCAACATGAAAATAAGGACACCCAATTTCCAGGCCTGCTGCTCTAGAATTTCTGGGGTTTAATTCTATGACATAATTTCCCTCCGGTTTTTAGCATTTTTTCTTGAAACTCTCAAGTTGCCTTCAAGTTCCAGGCTACTGCAGCAGCCTCAGCATGACTCATGATGACAGTGCTCCTTGTGCGAGCAATAAATACAAGGAGAAAAAAGGGACTGTTCAGTCTAAACTGGAAAAGACACAAGGGCAAGGAGATGCTTTTGTGCGATGAGCAGGTCAAAGACAGTGATTATTGCCCCCTGTTCAGCACCTGAGAGCTGCATGTGGAGAGTGCCTTGCTTTGGTGTGTCCCCCCTGTGCAAAAAAAATTCCCAAATTAAACAAACTCCCTCCTACAACAACAACAACAAGAAGACACTGACTTCCCAGAGGGTCCCAAGATGGTCAGGACCCTGGAGCTGCAATAAAAGAAATTCTAATCAAATACAGGACAAATGTTTCCAGTATGAGTGTAGTTAAACACCAGGACAGGGAGCCAGAGGGGAGTTTTATGTTGGGAGGCAGGTTTTAATGCAGCATCTTTACTCTCCCAATATTTGTCAACTAAAGTTGAAAAAAAACCCAGAAAAAAATCCATAAATCAGTAGAAAGCCTTCCACCATCTGCCACAAGAATAATAACCAGGAGAAATTCACTGGATTACTCACGTGAACAGTCTAATCCTGAAAGTGATTTAATGAGTTTTATCAAAGTCAGAACAAAAAAAGTTCTTTTTTCTAACTACTTGATGACCATAATATCTTAGAACCCTGAAAACCAACTGCTGTCAAGTGACACCACTGATTGAGAGTCAAAAAATTGGTTCACACAGACTCACAGGAGAGCAAACACCATTGCAAAGGCTGTTGGACTTCTCCTAAGACCCAATTCCTTACTCCCCACAACATTATCCATATTACCCAAACATTTTGTCCAATGTAACTGCACTGAAAGTAAACAAACCCACACATTTAATGTGTTTTGTTTGATTAAAGCTCAAGTAATCCATAGGGATACATTCAAATTTAATCCCAGTTAGCTGGATTATATAAACCAGCCTTCCAGGAAAACTATCCTCAAACCTGCTGTGAGTTTTGGAAAAGCACCTTGCAGCTGATCGGGGGAAACAATGGATGCACACACACTAAGTAACATGGAACAGGGAGATTTTTGTTTCTTGTAATCTCTGAGTCACAGTCACTTCACTCACTGCTCAAAGCAGACAAAAATCTGCAAAGGAATGTGATGATTAAGAGCAGCAAGGAAAGCTACAGAAATATTTGTTACCTAAAAGAGGAAATTAAGAACAGTAAAAGCAAACCCACGAGGGCTCTAAAGGTCTGTTTTCGTGTCAGTCACAGACCATTCGAAAACTCTCCACTGAAAATCTCTCTGTTTACATTCAGCACTGGTGCTTTGGATTACCTGTTTCTCTTCCTCTGGCATATCTTTCTCTAGTTCTAGTAAGTATTCTTCATCTAGTTCTGTCTGCTTCCTCGAGCTACTCCCACCGTTCTGTACATTCCCTTCATCATCCAGCACAGCTTCCTTTGCCTCAAAGGAGTCCTGACAGTCATGGAAACACTCATCTGTTGTGGGATCTTGGCCTGGGGATGGGGCACATCCACTCCCAGTGGTCTGGGGGTTCTGGGCATCTCTGGGGCCAGTCTCTGCAGATTTCTGGTCAGAAAGCTTTAAGTGACTGAGCAACTCTTCAGGTGGACTTGCATCTTTAAATTCTTCCATGCTGGACTCCTGGGAGGGGTTTAGAAATGAGAAAGAAATAACCCTCAATAAGGATCATATAAAACACTTGTCAGCAAACAAATCACAGTGTGGGTCAGGTTGGAAGGGACCACAGAGGCTCATCTGGTCCCACCTCCCTGCTCAAGCAAGGCCATCCCAGAGCACATGGCACGGGATTGCATCCAAAGGGTTCTGGAATATCTCCAGTGGGGGAGACCCCACACCCTCTCTGGACAATCTGTTCCAGTGCTCGGTCACTGCACAGTAAAGAAGCTCTTCCTCATGTTCAGGTGGAACTTCCTGGGCATCAGTTCCTGCCCGTTGCCTCTTGTCCCATTGTTGGGCACCCCCGCGCAGAGCCTGGTCCATCCTGACACCTCCCCTTTAGATATTTATACACATATAAACTTATTTAACACAATTATTTATTTTATACAAGTTTATAAGCCTCTAAAGTACTTAAAAAATACTTTTGGCATCCCCTGAGGGAAACTGTGACCCTTCAGGGAGAGAACAACTTATCCGCGACTCTACGCACTGCAGCGACACGCGTCCGGGAGGGACACTGCAGCCATGAGTAAGTGAATTCCCGAGCTCAGACTCCCAAGCCTGGCCCAGCACCGAGAGGCTGAGCTCACACACAGCCCCCAGCGCTCCTCGCCCACTCTGCCCGCCGCCCGCCCCACGGCCCCTCCGCCGTACCACCACCCCCCGGGAGGTGCCGTGCGCGGCTCCCAGGCGCACCGCAGCGCTGTCCTGGCGCTGGGACACGGGGCGGACCCGCAGCCATCGCCCACGACCCCGCCAGGCCCCCCGAACACCCCCCGATACCCCCAAGCCCCCAGCCCCGCACTCACCTGCGCCGGCCGCGCTTCCGGCTTCCGGCATCCGCCCCGCCCCCTGCGCCCGCGGGCGTCGCTTCCGGCCGGAACAACCAATGGGCGAGGAGGTGGCGCGCGGGGGCTGTCGGGAATTGTAGTCCGGCGGAGCGGGACCCGCAACTGCCTCAGGCGGAGGGCGGGAACGGGCTGAGGGGGCGTGAGTGGAGCGCAGGAGGGGGTGACGGAAGTGATATAACTTGCCTGTGTTTTTAATTAATAGCAACAGGTGGCTGGGTTTCCCTTGTCAGTTTGATCTTTAAGCCACCGAAGCTTTGAATTTCTCTGGACTGACTCTGATGAGCTTCGGTAAACGAAGTTTGAGGAAGAGGAATGTTGAACCGCTGGGATCTTAAATGTACAGTTCTTCAAAGACATAACCAGAAGATGCAGAGGGGATTGACAGCCTGAGAGTTGGACACTCTCTGTCTATGGAAGAATGATAAGAGAACCAAAGAATGGGGACCAGAATAATCAGTAAAGAATGGAGCAATTAAATTAATTAGATGAATTATTAAATTATTAATTAAATTGTGAGAATTGTGTAACTTATAACCCGTGAACGTTAATTTCTTTGTTTCAAATCAAACCACGAAGGGAGGCTTAAATTTTGCTAGAAGATGGAATAAAACTCTTGGATTCAAATGGCCAGAGACTTAGGAGGTTATACACTTGAGTTTTGCACTTTAGATGTTCTTAAATACTAAAATAAAACATTTAAATATTTACAACAGAAAATTCATGAGGTACAGCCACCGTGAGGCCCACGGACTGAGCCATGTAACAATTTGTATTGCTAAAACTCAGCATTCTGGAAAATAGCTTCTATTATTATTATTATTATTATTATTATTATTATTATTATTGTTATTATTAAACTCATATTTTGCAGAAGAGATGAATTATTTTAGAAATGAAGACCAGGTGAAAGAGTTTCTACTTAAAGAATATGTGTTATATCTGGAAGCTCTCAGTCAAAGAAGGAGCTTTTTTTAACAGATTCTAGTCCTGAGTTGCCTGAACAGCATTTTCTCTCTTCTTTTTTAAAAATAAAGCAGAACAAAACTTCAAGACACATGAATTTCAGTGGAAATCAAATTGCCACTTTAAGCATTTACAAGTTTATGGAGGGGATTTTTAAAGGCAACAGCAGAATACAGTTACTTAACCTGCTTTTCTGTAAACTTGCCAGTTGGCTTTACTATGAAAAACTGATGTTTTGACAAAGCAAACAGAGCTTTGGGGACTCGTCACTTCTGGAAGAGACAGTAGAAATCCCAGGAGATCCAAGTTCTCTTGCTACCTTAGGGAAAAGTCTTACTGCTTAAGAAGTTGGATTTGTGGTGCGTAAAATCCAGGGAACTTTTTGCTGGATTAGAGTATTTGTGACTTTCCTGCGCAATAGAAATCCAATAGATGGCGATGTTGGATTTTCCAATTTCCCTGTAAAACGGATCCAGTTTAATGAAATCAGGGCTGAATCTCCACTGTGTTACAGTACTGTCAGACTGGACTCTGAGCTGACCAGGAGAGGGATGAACTGTTGCACAATTACCTCGGGCTCCAGACCATATGTTAAATTTACTTCTTGGGACAGCTTTTTGATCTTCACAGTGCAGAAACCAAAGCTCAACAAATCAAGCACAGAAAAAATAATTACCATTTTCCAGAGGTCATAGAAAGTTCAGGTTCTTCTCTAGAATTAAACATTTGCACACAAGTCTCAGTGGAATCACATTATTGTGCTTCCCAAAGAACATTTGAAAGGAAGTTGTGAAATAGGCAATTAAAGGCTTTTTAATCGCAACTATAAATTAAAGTTTTACTACATCCGCCTTTTAGGCTGTCTTATTAAGGAAATTGTGAACGATTCTTATTAATTTTGAACATCCTTTCCCTTTCTCTCCTGGCTGGAGTCCTATAAAGATTGTGGGAATTACTGGATAGGGAGCATATTCTTCACTGGTCAAGCTAAGATGTTTTGATATAAAAAATTTCCAGTAACAACTCCAGCCTTCCTTTCCCTATCACCTTCCACTCGTCTGAACAACCATATCCCACTGTATTTGTCAAGCTTTCCATTATTTTCACTGGTTGGACTCAACTTCACAGGGTATAAAATAAGGATCCAGCCTTATTTTATGAAGACAATTCTTTGCCTTTATCACTCTTTACATATTTTGCAGAGGTGAGATGCTCATTATTCAGCAGGTGTAAATGAATTTGCCTCATTTGAGCTCAAAACTGTGCCAATCACATCATTAGAGTTTCTAAAGCAGGATTTGCCATGGTGTTGTCACTGACTCATCTGGTGGGATTTTGTGCCCTACCCAAGGCTTTTATTTGGGCCTTGCTGCTTCTTACACCCTTAGTGGTGCTGATGGAAACATGAAGTGACTAATGTTTGTAATCTCCTTGGAGGAATAAATAAAAAAAGCAACTTTAATTTTAAATTAACTTTAATTAATGAAATTTTGGCTATTCTAGGAAAAAATGAAGCCATAGATTATAACTGAGTAGAAATGGAACCTAACTTCCTGCATTTACAACCCAGGCAGGAGAACAGAGGGGTGCAGGGGCATCTGTCCATGTTGTGGTGACATAAATTGACATAATAGCCCTGCTTTTTCCTGCAGAGCCACTTTGTTTTTCTCCTCATTTTAGTGATAGACCAACCAGATAAACACAATACAACAAATCGTGTCATTAAGATGAATAAATGCTGATTTATGGATTTACAACCTTTGTCTTTCAGCACTTCTCCCTTTCTCTTGGTATTTTCAGGACTTCTCTCTTTCTCTTGGTGTTTTCAGCGCTCTCATTTGTCTCCCACATTATCCTCCCACATGTCCTGTTCCACATTGCCAGATCTTAGTGGGTAAACAGGTCCATGTGGCTTTGCTGGCCCTGGGCTATGTGTGCTGACTCACCAGTCAGAATGTGCAAGTTAGAAGCCAGCAGGCTCTGAGGTTGATCGAGGGGCAGCCTTAGAAAGGTCTCCTGAGAAAAGGCTCTAATTGGGTTCCCTTCCCTGTATTTAGGGAGGTGAAACACAAAAGCATTAAGGCCGAGGCAGGATTTTCCCGGTTGGTGCCCTGACCTCAATGTCACCACTTCAGGTGTTTTCACTGCTCTTTGGAATCATGACTTACCATTTGCACAAGTAGCTAGGACCACTCCCAGTCCCCAAAAAAATCATGGTAGGTGGAAACATTTTTGGGTTCCTTTAAAGTGACATAAACCAAGGTGGTGTGTGTCCTTATTCTGAAGTGTTTCTTTCTGAGCACTTCAGGGTGAAACTGGTGTTTGTGGGATGCACCATCCCCACAGGACTGTGTTCTGCCCTATGGAATAGTGAGCCAGAGCACTGCAGGGGGGTTGGGAAGGAGGTGAGTAAATCTGTTGTTGGGTGTATCAAAGCAGAATCCAGTGTCTTCTCGTGGGAATGAGCTGGTAAATTTGTGGGATAAGGAATAAGTGGATACCAGTATACCAATAGTTCTGTGGATGATTATCTCCTGTGCTGTGCAATGTTATGCTCATTTGTGTGAGGGGAAAGTCAAGCACAGAAACTGAGAGCTCAGAGCTCATCTGTTGAATGAGAAGTTGCTGTTTTGACATTTTTTCAGACTAGAACTGTACTTTATAATATTAATGTCTCCTCTTCTCTCCCTGGCACATTTGGAAAGATAATAGAAAACTGCATTTCCAGAGAGTAAAGAATGTCGAATGCTTTACAATTGCAGTCTCATTCAGCTGGATTGATTTTACCATAACACTTTTCAAAAATAAGCAGCACTTTTGTGATAGCTGAGTGCACTGAAGCCTAATGGGTTTAATTTGTGTGCAGCTGGGCTGTACCAAAGCTCCCTGAGCCATTACAGCTGTGCCTCTCCCTTGAATGGCTTTGGACAAGCCCCTAGGTAGGGATTAAGCTCCACACAGTAGCTTAACCTGGAGAAATTCACAGTGTTTTATGAACACCTTCTGTGTTAAATGGCAGCAGCTCCTCTTTGGAGGCAAATCTATTTGGGGTTCATCAGAAGACCTGTTAATAAGCCTAAAAAATACCCATGATGGAGTGTAGTTGCATCGGACAGACCATCATCATGTGCCACTGCACTGGATCCTGGATGTTCTGCTTGGCAAAATAATTTTGGCTGTACTAAAATATGGGCTAATATGGGCTTGTCCCACAAGGGTTTATGATCATGCCCTGGTCCAAATAGTTTTTCCTTTAAAGGAAAACATTGCAACAAATGAAGGACTAACAAAAGGAAGAGGGTGATTTGCATGGCCTCATTTGGGCTAGCCTTGCCTGGTGGAGGTCGTAAAATATTTCAGTGGTAAAAATAAAGATATTTAGAACAGATTTGTTCTGGAGAAGTCAGGTGGTCCTGCAAAAGTTTCATATTTTAAGGTGACATATCAGACTTTCTGCTCTATAACCTTCATAGTCCCTCTTTCAGATCCATGTGGGGTTTTTTCCCATTTTATGCAATCAGTTTTATTGCCTGTACCTCCAGCGAAGCTGTGACTGGAGGTGAAGCAGGTATTGTCGGCAACTTATGAACAAATATGATGGGACTTCTGAAATCTTCCATAGTTTACATATTTGTATGGATGGGACCCCACTGGTACAGTGTTGCTGTACCAAAAGGGGAATTCATGAGACAAAAAGTAAAGAGCTTAAAAGAAGAGAGAAGACATGTAATATCATGCATGGCTATAAAGAGCTTGGAGAAATGTATTTTAGAGAAATATTAGGAATCTTCCCATCTTATGTTTGCTATGCCTACAAGCTGTAGGCTCTCCAGTATTAAAATTTAATTTTAAGAACGAGACACAGTTTATTAAAATTCTATTTGAAGTATATATTAGGTATTGCAGGATATGTGTCTGGGTCTTTTGCTCTCTGACGATTTTGGTATCTGATTTGTGTGTTTTGAGGCACTGAATGTGTTGTTAATTCATGTCTTCTCCTGATCAGTTACAAGGTTTACAGAATGGTGGTTTTTCCAATACTAAAATGGCTGAAATTCTCTTTTTATACATTTGAAAGAAGCAGTAAGGGAACTTTCCTTGTGGTTGTTGTAACATTGCATGTAAAAATGCACAAAGATTATAAGTACTTAAAGTACTTCAGTATGGGATAAAAGCCTCTCTGATTTCATCCATATTAGAGAATTATAGCATTGTTTAAGGAGCTTAAATGATGATCAGAGATCACACAGCTTTTGTTAGGACTAAGAACTAATTAAAATAATTATCAGTCTCTCAGAGCTATGTAGTTAAAGGATTTAAAGTAATAGAATGCTGTTCTTTCTCCAACCTTGCAGTATCACTTCTTTCTCAAATACGGATATTGAATTTACTTTACACTATACAAATTGCATGACTCAAAATGTAGCTGAAGTGTGCTGTCAGGTGATGAGATTAAACAAATTCATTTCCAGTTCGCTGTAGTTTGGAAGAAGTTTTACAAAACCCTGAAGTGTTTGACAGACAATTGTATATTCCCTCCAAAAGTATACCAGTGGGTCAGAAACACAGTTCTCTGCCTTTCAGAGCCACAAAGGGCACAGCTTCCTACTGGTGTATCACAGCTGGGTGTGATTTTCCTTATGGCAACATCAGTCTGTGAGCAACAAGAGTTTGTTAACTGTTTTAAAATACTTTTAAATTTTATAAGCATTGTCCTTTTAAGAGGAAATTACTGCATTTTCCACAATCAAAATGAAATTATTAAAGTAGGAAATTGGCCATACTGCAACAAGATAGGACTTAAAATATACTTCTGTGGTTCTTACTATAACATAGGACCATGGGAAGATGCTGGAACATGACGTTCCTATTGTTGGGCTGGGGGATGTATCATCTAACCACACACCACATCCACCCCTGGCTATTTGATGAAAGAATACACATGAAAGGAAATAAAAACTAAGGAAATGGCTCTCCCTTGGGATGTACCATTGTTAAATTGTCCCCAAGCGCTTTTAGTACATCAGTTTATGGTTTGTTCCCTGTTTCAAGATTTAAAAAAAGGTCACTACAATTCCTAGTAAGGAAAGGCTCCGTCGGAGAAAGGAGTTAATACTAATTGTCACGGTTTGTACCACTTCATGTGAAAAAATCAGTCAGTTCTGTGATTCACACTTAATTGCAAGGGATGAAAATAGCTTCCAAACATGACCTAAAAAGTCCTAGAAGATATTGCCAGGAATTCTCTTAAAGAACTGTATTACTGAGCTGGAAAATATTAATGAAGTGATACTTACACTACTCCATTGTTTTGACTCTTCTTATCTGAGAGGTAAAGTAAAGCCTCTAAATGTCCAGTGCTGTTTTCAAAGCCTGCTAAAAGAACCAAGGGCTGAGCATATTTGTCCTGGAGCTCGTTTTGGGCCTCCAGCGGTCACTGCTCTTTTGTGCTGTGCCCACAACACTGTTTATGAGGTATTTGGAGTGATTTATGAGTGTTGCTTTTAGAAATCAGATCCTCTGGCAGCTTACTGATGTGCTCAAATGTAGATTGTGAGCTCTCACCATTGCTGGTATTTTCAGACTTTCAAAGAAGAGAATGGTAAAGGATAGAGGAGTTATAAATGCTGGTGATCAGGGAAGCAACTGTATCCTAGGAGTCACAATGGCAAACTTCATGGCTATGAGTGTTTTATTTTGAAGTGAAAATGGTGATAAGGGAACTTGGCTGAATTCCAGTCCTACAGTAATAGGTGCAAGTGTTTAAATTGTTGAGAAATTACTTTAATGGTTGACATTGTTTTCAGTTTCTAAAGTGCGAATGTACAGTGATGTACAGCAACAATACGGAACTACAGGCAAAGTCAGGGGTGACCTGGAGAGGAACAATCAGGACTGCACTGCTCACTGCCACTTCCAGACATCCATCCACATGGCTGGCACACCTGGACACCCACACTCACACATGGCCCCTGCCCACCCCCCTGTTTATGTATTCTTTCTATGTACAGATGTGTTTGGCCGTTCCACAGCACTTCCACAACAGCTCAATAATTGGATGTGCACTTCCCTGGGTTTATGCAGCACTTTCCCTGCATTCTGTTCATGCTTCCATAGTTTCTCTGGAAATTGCCTGGGAATATGGTTAGACCCTGCACTTGGCCACTCCAGTGACTTAAATCTGCCTGTTCCTCCCTGATTTTCTTCCCGTGCTATCCTGAGGAACCGTGTGTAGGTCTATTTCTTTGCCTGGGCCTAACGTCAGACAAGTCGGTGTCCCAAGGGAACAGACTGGTTGGGGTCTGTTCATTCCAGTGTGGTGTTTGCTCCACAGGCAGCTTTGCAGTTCAGTGTGTCACAGGTGGCCTCACAGTCCCTGTTGCTGGAGCCTTGGCTGCCGGCAGGGACGTGTCCATTCCGCTCCGAGAAGAGGCTGAAGGTGAAGAACTGGCACGGCTCCTTCTGCCCGCTGCCATCCTGCAAGGGGCTCAGGAGGGAGCTGGAGTTTTTCCATTCCTGGAATGTGCACATCTCCAGGTGTGGGTGAGTGATTTTGCTCACGTACCCGGGGCTGGGAGATGCCGAGGATAACGTCCTCTGGCTGCCACTCAGGAAACTCCCGCTGTCCTCCAGAGAGTCTTTCCTGTGGTGTTCAAAGGAGCACCGATTCCAGTTTCTGTAGCTGTAGGGCCACCACCCCAGCTGCTTTCGACGGTGGCAGTGGCATTTCAGGATCTGTATAAAAGCCCTCTTGAACTCTTTGCTTGAGCAAGGGTAGATGATGGGATTCAAGCAGCTGTTAAAGTAGCCAAGCCAAAAAATCACCTTGAAAATTGTTTCAGGTGGCTTCAGAGCTGAAAACAGAGATCCTGTCCATAGGAAACAAGCAGAAACAATATCTGAGTTAATTGGTTTGTCTGCCTCTAGGAAGGGCAAATGTTACATCAGATCACTGTTAGAACCCGTGTATTAAAAATCTTTCATGCATGTTGCTTTCAGTTTTGGTCTTTTGCTACTAAAATGTTACTTTTATTATTTTTAAAACTAATAATGAAATGCTCTTCGTCATCTGAAAGTCAAAGGAGCACATAATTAATGTAGAATTAAAAACTAAAATGCAGTTTATGGGTACACATCTGCTGCACTAACATGTACTGATCCCAATGACAGATCAAACCTCCACCGTCCAAGCAGCTGTACAAGGCACACATGGAATACTTCTGCAAAGGACTTTCAAGGGTCATTTTTGAAGGAAAAGATCTAAATGTTCCCAGGCTTGTTAGGAGGAGTGTGTCCAGACATACCTTATAACTTCTAATACACTCTCTGGCAGCTCTCAAACATCCCTCCCTTTATTCAGATTATTGTCATAGTACAAACCTCTGGAAACCTGAAGTTAGTTATGGGAAGTTAGTGGAACTTCCCATATCTCAGGCGTTCATAAAAGTGGTGTAACCCAAAATAAGAGGTTGTTTTATGAGTTCTTCCTCTTCTGTTCACAACCAAATAACTTCCCTAATGAGACTGCCCAACTCCTACTGGGAAATCCATTTCCTGTACTTTTAGTGTTAAAAGCAGGGGCAATTGATCAGCTAAATTTAGCAAATGGGGCTGTAGAAAAGAACGTGTGACATTTTTAAAGCAAAACAGGCATTCAAGAGTTATCCAGCTGGGTAAACACCTTTGTGTCTGGCTCAAGTAATCAAGGAATGGGGATTCAGGGGCGAATTCTTATGTCAAGAACTGGAGTTTGACTTGAAGATTTTTTTCAAATGGAAGTCAACACCCCAGCCTGGATGTCACATCCTGACCTTTTCCACTGGAGTGGTTTCAGATTCGCTGGGCTGTGAAAGCAGCTGAGTCAGTTGTGGCTGTCAGATGCCTGAGTGGGGAGGGATGTGATTCTGGGCATATTTCCCATCTCACAGCAATGTGGAGGTCACGGCTTGGGCCTCAAAACTATGCAAAAGCACTTCCTATCCTCTTGGGTAAACAGCTCTTCCGTGCCACGGCACAGTGTGTCTGCATGGCAAAGCTGGGCTTGGAGCCTCCTCATTCCACAGGAATCCAGAGGGGAGTGTGTGCCATTCCTCATACATCCACTGCCCTGCCCAGGGTGCCAGCTGCTTCCTGAGGTGGCTCAGGAGAGAAAATAAGATGCTGAGCTGGCATCAGCTCTCTGGAAAGGCTCTTCCTCATCAGTAACAGTCAGGGAAGGTCCTGTGAATCCAGAACTATAGATTTTTCCCTGGCAGTGTTTGGGAATGGTGCCAGCTGGAACTAGGTCTGCCCATTGCCTCGGAGCTAAGGAGCGCGCTGGCCCTTAGGGTTAAAATGGAGGGTTTAAATCACAAGGTTCAGAGCAGTTCTTCATGACTCCTGCACTTTACTGACTTTTACTCATGGAGAGTAAATGGAGAAAAGGAAATATATCAGAAAATCAATTGACTTGATGAGTTTTGATTGATCAGTTTTTTGACCACAGTCACCAGACTTCATAGAGTTGTTCAGTTTGGAAATACACTGAGCAATAGCAAATATCATAAAGAGAAATTAAGAAGTATTTTATTTAGTAGAAGTTAATTGCATTTAGGCTCTGACTGGTTCTTTATAATGAATATTTTATTACAGAGAAAGTAAGTGAAGCATCCTAATGAAATTAGGGAACATTGTGGGAAGCAATTTGGCATATTAATTGTCCTCACATATTCTGCAGAATATCTGCCCAGAGCATCACTGAGACATTAAAATTCAGACTCCACTGGAGTCAGTGGAAGTCCTCGAAAGGCTCATAAGGACTTCGGTGGACTTGGGAAGAGACCTATAATTACTCATAGAATCATCAGTTTTCTTCAGAATCAAGTATTTTATACTTGATTTATACTTAGGTTAGATAATAGTTGGTGAGAAGTACTGTGAATTCTCTGGATTTAAGGAGAAAAAGTGGCTATGGATGAGTTTGGGGCAGTCAGGTGCTGTTTTCTGCATGTTACAAAAGGATCACATTTCAAAATTTTCTAAATCCAGTTTTTCTTCGATGAGAGCCAACCTGGGGGAGTGTGTGTTCTGTTTTCTGGAACAAACGCAACATCTGGTTTTATTGCAATACAATGGTCTGGAGTTGTTTGAGTGCTTTGTTGTGTGTCAGTGGATATTCCAGTGATGGTGACAGGAGAGCTCCACTGCAGGGCTTTGTCATTGTCTGAAGATTAAAGAAAAGCCACAAAATTTGAAATTTCTTGTCCCTACTGATAACAGGTAGAAAATGAAATGTTTCCATACTTGAAACTCTGAGGGGGGTTATTCCCACTCTGGAGAAAATCACCCTCTTCTTTGAACACCATAAAATAGAAATAGTTTGAGAATTGGTAAGGAGTATTTGGAAGTTCAGTTACAGAGTCTGATCAAACTCAAATAGTTAAGGTAACCTTGGAAGGCAAAGACATCCTCTTATTTCAGAGGAGATTTCATTCTGGTGCAGATTGGAGCCATTCTGACTGGAGTTAAATGTGAGCTTTTCAACGTTCTCCACAAGAAAAAATTCCAATGTTTTAAAAATTGCTGTAATGAGGAAAAGCATTGCAAAATACCAAGTGATAACAGATGAGTTTTGAAACATGAAAAACAGGAAGCTTCACCAATATCAAACCCTGTCTCAATCTGTCCTCCAGAACACAGCTTGTACAAAAATGAGTGTTGCTTTGCAAGAAATCTGTTTTATGATGGAACTCGGCCTTCCTATGAAAAGTGACCTGATCAGATTTGTGCTGTGACCAACAAGAGACATTCCCAGTGCTTGGCTCTGGGTGGCTGCTGAGGGTCTGGCTGGGAACCTTCTCTTCTCCCCCGTGTTCCTGCTGTGATTCCTGCAGCAGCCGGGACTGCTGGAAGCTGCTCATGGCTGAGTTACAGCCACCGTGTGCACAGCTAGTAAAATTCTCCCTCTAGAAGTAATAATCTGCCTCTGCCCAGAGTTATTACGAGTTTAGAGAAAGGATGTGGTTGTCCTTTATTTAAGCTTTTGCAGTCCCTTTCACCACATGCTTCGCCAAGTCAGCGTGCCAAGGTTTTAAAGCTAATTGGATTTCTAGAGCTCCTGATTCCTTCCCTTCCAGCATTCAGTGTTTGTTTACATTCCCCTGGACTTATTTAATATAGGAAAAAAACCCCACAGTTTACAAACAGTAGAGGATGAAATAGAGAGTATGGTTATAAAATTACGAGTTGATCAAGCTGGGAGGAAGTGCAGGCCTTCTGGAGAAGAGGATTAGGATAACAGTGAAAACAGTTAGAAAGCAGAGAAAATAGATCTTGAGAAATAGGAAAGCATCCAAAATCAACAGAATAAAATTCAATAAGGAAGATGAAAGATGGTTAAATTATAAGTACTACAAATAAATAACAATGGATAGTGTTTGGTTGTGGTTATTTGGCATGTTGGTGTCTCTGTGGGATGCCTTGTGCTGCACATCCCAGCAGTGCCTGGGCTGCCAGGCTGGAAACTAGTCCCAGGAACCCAGCAGTCACCAACACACTACTCCTGTGCTTGTGGATATCTTGTGTGTGTGTATGTGTAGCACTTTGCTTTTGAGGAAGGAGAAATATCAAATAAGGAATAACTGCTGTGGGCAGGGACACCTTCCACTGGACGAGGTTGGTCAGTGCTCCAAAGTGTCCTGGTTGTGAGGAATTTCTGTCCTAGAACTGACTACCTACAGCAGTGTCCTCATATTACAGATGAACAAATCACTTGTATAAGACCAGCAGGAACTTCATTCACAGTGGCTCACATTTGAGAGCTTTTTAAAGGCTCCAAAAAATAGAAACTTATCTAGAATGGCAAAAGTAAAACCAGGACTTTACCTCCCTTCAAGGAGTACAGGGAGAGATCAGGTCTTTTTACTAAACCCCAGACTTGCTACACCTTCTTGTATTACAAGCAATTGCAAGGCAGAGCAGCAATATTTGCATTTCTACAGGGACAGTACCTGTGTATTTAACCCCAAAACTAACATGGGCACCACCTCTCAGTCCAGAATAGCTATGCTGACTTTCATCATTGAGAGAGCTCACTTGTGCTTAAATTGTGTTGCCCTCATACAAATAGTGTGAAATCAAGATCAATTTTGATAAGAATCTTGTTTGGTACCTAAAACTGACAATAGTAAGGGACAGAAACATGGCACTAATGTTGTTGTTATTTTGTCCAAAAGAATCAGAGACTTCTGCAGCTTCCAAACTAGACAGAACATGGGCCAAGCTTATTCTTGTTTTGCAAAAGATTAGATGATTGAGGGAGTCTAGAAAAGCTAATCTAAGTCTGCTGACATTTCATTTATTACACTTAAATATCTGCAATTACTGAACATGTTTTGGTGTTTTCTCCTCTTCTGACTTATAACAGAGACATCTTTCTTGGCCATTGTTAGTATATAACAGCCTGTAGCATGGAATTGAATAACACAGCTACCTCGGTACTGTATGAAATTCCAGTGCAGTTTTTCTCTTGTCACTCAGACACAGATGGTTATTGCTTTCTGGTTTCTAGGGATCACCCAAAAGCCTGTCAAAATATCTCAAAATCTTGCAGTGGTCAGTGAAGAAACACTTTAATAAAGATGTGAAAAAACTCCTCACTTTTTGCTCATGTCAGTATTTCACAGGTAGGTGCCCTAAAGTCCCTGAGACCCTGAGGTGTGGCCTCGATGCTTTAGGACCTGTGTAGCTTTACTCAGGGCTTTCCTCATTAGCACCAGCTGGAGCAATAGCACAAGTGTTTGCAAATGCCTCTGGCATAAGGACCTTGTATTCCAACTGCCTTGCTGAAAGTAGTGTTTCCCCTGAAATTATCCCTTCTCTCTTGTCATTG